AATCACACCATTAAAGCCACCAATGTGGCAATGAATCACACCATTAAACTATGGTTTAAAACAAAAATCAAGTTTTACAAAGTTTCCAAACTTCATGATCCCTTGCCACTTTTATTTGCTGCATGAACTGGTCATTTGTGATGTACCTTGCACGAATTTGGGCCTCTTGAATGGCCCAAATGAAGCCCACTTAAGCCTTGATCCATTTGTTTGATATTTCACTTGATTTCTTTTATATTTAAATGAAAAAAATTAAAATTAAAATCCAAATAATGCATGGATAGTTTTTATAGGATCTTGGATATGTCATGAGTATGTTTGAACTCTAAAAAGTTAGGCCCAATAACTTAAAATCACAAATTTGCTCAATTGAGATTTCATGTATTTCTTGAAAATTGTCCAACTTGTGAAACTCATAACTTGCTCAATTTTCTTTTTTTTTGAAGATGATCTTTGACTTTTTGGATATCCCAAGATGTCCTCTACACTTTCTATTTAAATCATTTTTCCATTTGGAGACATTATCTTGATGTAAGTTGCCTTTACAAAAAGTGTCTTTTGTTGACTTTGTGAAAATGACCTATAATGTATGAGATCATATCTTCCGAATGAAGCATTTTTTGAACTTGAGAATAAATAAAAAGTTATAGAGAATAGAATTTTCTTCAAAATGCGCTTTAGTTGGGGAAAATTTGATGAAGCGCGAGAAAGTTATGCCTGGTCAAAGTTCAGTTGACTTCTCCTAAGGAAAACCCTAATTTGGCAATTCTTGAATTTTGACGATATGAGGACTTTCCTTGGGGTATCATGATCAACCCTTGATCAAATGATGAATATCACTTCAAAATGTTGATGTTGACCAAAAATCTTGAAGTTTGACTGTATGTTGACCATATTTGACTTTTTGATCAATATAGTTGATTTTTAAGCATTTGAGCCATTGACTGAGCAAACTTGTGATGTAGGGGTTGAAACTTGACATGAACCTTGTTGAGGACCTATGAAGAACCATGAAAGCCATTTGAGACCTTTGCAAACCAAATTTCCTTGGGAAATTCCAAACCCTAGTTATGGGTCTTTGGTCTAGGAGGAGCACCTTGACGAATCAAACCTTGATTGTTTCGACCATTTGAAGAGCCTTGAAAGAATGATTTAAAGAAAAATGGGAGGGCATATTTTCGGGTACGATAGTACGCCTCAGTGAGGGTTTCTGTCGGGGATATGATCATGTTTCCCAACTCCATTTCGCTTGTTTAGCGGTGGAAGGGTGGTCTGGGATTGATGTCGAGCTCATCTTTTTCGTCTGCTTTTTAGGTGCCATGACTGATACTGCTCGGGTTGAAATTTTGTGTGATTCTACACAGTCTTCTGGGAGTTCCTCGGATGGGACAAGTAGCTCATTGAGCATCTTGGAAATTTCCGGGGAAGAACGAAATCAAACGGGGGTGCTTGACGTAGGTGTAACTTCCGCCGATAAGGGCAGCTTGTTTCCTCCTGGGGACGAGGAGGACCCTCGGGATTGGGTCACACAACCCCTGAGACTGGCCGATGTATTTTTACGAGCATGGGGAGGATGTCTTCACAAACGTATACACTCATAAGGAGGAGGCCCAGGAGGAATAGTCGTTATACATTCCTTGGAAGGAGAGAAGAATCTGCTCGAAATATGACAAGAGGAGGATCCCAATGTACGACATTGGTTTTAGAGAGATGCGACTTCGCCTCCCGTTCTCCGACTTCGAGGTGGCTGTTTTCAGGTATTTGTATGTCGCTCCCTCCCAACTTCATCCGAACGGTATCGTATTCATGCGGGCGTTCGAAATAGTTTGCGACACCTGAAGATAGAGGCCATCATTCCACTTTTTTTCTACTGCTTCCACGTTCAGAGGAGAAAGGTCGACAGAAAGTGGGGATGGGTATCCCTGAATTAACGCAATGGGAAGTTTTTCAAATCCTATTTAGAGTTTGTCCTCCACTTTAAGTATAAATACATCTTAGCGCAGCCCTCCTCGACCAAGGACATGTTGTACTTCTTTAGGACTGTGTCAACGGTAAATAAGGACGACACTCCCCGTCTAAACGAGCTAGGGGAGCCTACTGTGAAGCTGATTTATAAGTTCCCGTTTCAATGGACGAGGAAGGACGTCGATAGAGAATTGGGCTCCTACATTTAGATAGTGAGGGAGCTCAGTGATGAGGATCTGGAGAGCTTTTCCACCCTGACTGCGTTCGTGGCTCGAATACCTCGGGTAAACGAGTTGGTCAGAGAGGTAGGCCCGTGTTGGATAAAAACGGGGAGCCCGTATAGGAGCCGTGCCTCATAAACTTCAAGGATCTCCTTGTAAGCGAGGACCCTACTATATAATTGGGTAAGTGGTCGTCGTTTATCTGACCCCTTGTTTACTAACTATGTTTCTTTTTGTTTGTTTTGCATAGATTATGAATCCTGCTCAGGAGCGCTTTGCTAAGACTCTCGCTGCCAAAGCAAGGAGGCCCTGAAGGATGCACAAATTAGTTTAGGACCAGCTCCTGCCTCGGGGTCGGGCAACTCATCTTCGGCTCATCCTATAGTCGCTCTTTCCCCCGATGCGGTTTCCTCGAAGGTGAAGAGGCTGCGAGCCAAGGGGAGTGTTGAACTGACCGGTGAATAAGGAAAAGGAACGTATGAACTGCCTCCCTGCTAGATGGAGAAGTCTCTTTTCAAGGGCACAACTCTCAGTCTTTCCCGGGACGAATCTCTCCATCTCGAGGGAATGGTCCGCTAGGAGAAGAGGGAAATGCTGGCGCAAGATACTGGCGGTATGATGCGGATCTTGGAGATGGTGGTTGCTTACACCGAGGGGAGTTCATCTCAGGAGGAAGAAATGAAGAATCTTCAGGCTAAGCTGGCTGCGAGCGAGAAAGCCTTGGTCGAGAAGGACAAAGCCTTGAAGTTGTCTGAGGAAGAATCGGGGAAGCTCTCCGAGGAACGCATGATTCTTTTTCTTGAGAGAAAGGACCTTGAGGGAAAGGTGGAAGCCCTGACTGCCGAGGTTACGCCCGCTGAAGACGAGCCAAAGGATACTAAGGATCGGAAGACTCGGGCCGAGCTGGATGCTCGTTTTTAGTTGGCCATGGACGACGCTCAGGCTGCTTCTGAGGGGAGCTTCGAAAATACTGTGAATTAGATGTGTGTGTTGAACCCCAGAGTTGAGATTAACACCTTAGGAATGGGGGCCAATTACTATGTATATGGCGGTCAGATTCTGGTTCTTGATTACCTCAGGGATATTGTTGCCCAGCCGACCGGGGGTCCCTCCCAATTATCGCCCATTGTTGAAGGGCAAGCATAAGGATGATCGCTTTATGTTAATTTTGGCTTGCGTGCCGTATTTGTTGTATTTGTTTTTCCGGGCTATTGGTTGTTTATGTAATATTCGCATATTATCGGCCCGAGTGGTCGTTTTATTTAAATTCCGGCCAATGGTCGTTTGCTTTGAATATTTAACTTGTGTTTTTTACATGTTTGTTGACAAACTAGCACATTTAGGACGATTTATATTTTGCTAAGAGTTTATAGCGGGGATGTGCTCGTTTTATATGTTCGTCAGTGCGGGGAAACTGATCAAACGACCAAGGTGAATACCGGGCGAGGGCCGGAACTCAGGTCTCATTTCAAGAGACCCAGGTTCGGTAGCGTGAACCTCCCGTCATGAGTCGGGCGTTCTACCGTCGTGGCACAAGGACTACGGAGGGTGCGCTCGTCAACAGAGCAGAGCCTTCCCCCTTATGAATACTTTGGGTGCCATGCTTGTGCCTAGGCATGCACGCGTGATCGGGCCTGAGTGAGTTTATCTCGTCGAGCAAACTCGCCAACTGATCAGTGTTTTTAACTGTAATATTGTTTTAGCATTTCAGCATTCCATGATCGAACGAGCTATTCCCCTTGTAAGTTTTCCAAATAATACGCTCTAGTCCCCTTTTTCGCGTAGACGCGTTAAGGGCCTTCCTAGTTCGCTGCGAGCTTGTCTTCATGAGATTCTTTGTGGTTTCTCTTTGTGGTTTCATCAAATGATTTTAACAAATATTATAAAAATAATTTATTTTTAGTTAATATGTTACTATTTCACTTGTATATTAGACTAATGTTTTTGTTAAAGAATAAATTAATATTTATTGGAGCAAAACTTAAGTACTGCCCAATATTTGTATCAAAATAACATTTCAATTCTAAAGTTGTGCCTTCATTTACAAGTTAATTAAAAAATAAAGATAAAATATATTCCAAATTAATATATATTTATTTCATATGTTAATTGGACGGTTGTTTTAATCCTCATAGTTTCAAACACATTAATATTAAAATAAAAGAGACTATCTTGGATTATAAATATGTTTCCATATATTTAAGATTTTACATAGTGGTGCCAAAAAAACTTATTTAAAAAATATAATACATTTTTTTATGAAATCATTAAAGTTTTAAAAAATTAGTTATAAATAAATTGAAAATAAATAAAAATAGAGTAAATTTCCAAGAATGTTGTATTACATATTAGGACAACTCAAAAACAATTTATTTAAAATGTTTTATGTAGAATATGAAAGACGTTATTATAACCATTAAAATATAAACTATATTTTAGGACCATTCCTAAAATATCTGTATTTGTAGATGAATTATGGGATCTACTGTAAGATATTTTAAAAATAAATTTAGTTTTTAAAAACAACCGAAAAAAATTATGATATTTTTTAATCAAGAGTTGAGAAAATGTTTAATATTATCTTTATAATAAAAAGAGGTCTTAATTGAACATTTAAAAATTGACATTTAATTGGATAAGTCGTATAACATTTGTATATTTATATTAAATTAATTCATTTGATCAACAAATGATTAAATCAATAATAATAAAAATAATTTCTTTCAAATTAAATTTTTTTTATTTCATCTATAAAGTAGTCTTATGTTCGCTTCCTATTAATATTAAACATGTTAACATTGAAATAAACCACTAATGGACTGGCTGAACTGTAATGTTGATGCGTCTTTTAATAACAACAATGGCACTACGAATAGCGAGTGGTGCGTGTGTAATCATTCTGGGAACTTTATTTCTCCAGGTTTTGCTTGGGATCCAAGAATTCTTCCCGTCATTGAAGTCGAAGCCTCAACACTTAAGGATGCAATTCTAAGAGCTATGACTTCGCACTTGGAGTTTGTTACATTTGAAAGTGATTCCCAAAGAGTTATTCAAGCAATCCATTATAATCGTAATGGCGACTCTGAATTTAGTCTTATTATTGAGTCTATTTCTACTTTATTTGTTAATTTTCCAAGCTTTGAGGGGAATTTTATCAAATGTCAATCAAATATGGTTGCTCACTCTATTGCGAGTGCAATCAATTCTTGGGCTCGACGTAGTTAATAATTATTGATTCCTCGCTGTACTGAATATTATTTAGTAAATTATATGCATTGATCTTGTTGTGATATAAAAAGAGAGGATTATACATTTGAAATATGTTGCCAAGTAAGTAAAATTTCCACAATGGCACAATAAAACTTAATTTAAGCAAAACAATTCATTGATATATGAAATAATTATTTTTTGAAAATAATTCAAAATTGAATCGCAAATAAACAAATTAATATTTATTAGTTGAAAATACTCTACTCTACAGATCGTGATCTTTATGGGATTAAGAAAAGTGGTTTTTTAAAAACACAAATAATTTGATTTTTCTTTCTTTCGCGCTCTGGTTCCTTGGGGAATGGGGCTCTATTATCTCAGAGATTGTGAACTGATTTAATTTTAAACTAATTGTTTATGTTAGGAAATTACATTCTTGAAATTTTTTTATTTAATAAATTGCATTTATTATTCCCTAATAAACCTTATAAACGTATAGAGTGATTTTTTTAAGAATTTTAGTTTTTTTTTGTTTTAACCGATGTTTATAAAATAGATAGAAACTCAAGTGTTGCCCAATTTTTTAAAATCAAAATATAAATTTAAAAGCTAATATTGTGGTTTAAGTTACAAGAAAATCTCGACAAATATATTAGTAACATTAAGTAAAAATAATTTATTTCAAATTAATATTTATTAATTTCATATGTTAATTAAATAATTTTTTTCCTCCTCATAATATCTAAAACGTTACTGTTAAAAAAAGAGTGACTATTTTGATTTTGAAATATGTTTCCATCTATTTAAATTTTTTCATATGGGTATATCAAAAAATTATTTAGGAAATACAACTAATTTATACATAAAATCATTAATGTTTTATAATAAATATTTAAAAATTATAATGTAAATATATAAAAATATTTTAAATAGTTAAAACTATCAATACTGTTGTAATAGACATTTGGACAACCGAAAAAATTTAATTATACTTTTTAGTGTTGGATATGGAAGACATTATAACCACAGAATGTAGAAAAATAATGATGATGTTTTAAAACAATTTATAAACTTTTTTATTTTATTTTGTATAATTTGGTTGTGAAATATATTGTAGCCAAAATATGTAATAAAATTTTTACACAAATTATATTCTCTGTATTTGTATATTATTATGGGATCTACGGTAATAAATTTGTAAAAAAGAAAACTAATTTTTAATCACGAGTTGCACAAATGTTTAATATTACCAATGATTTTCTAATAAAAGTGATGTTATTTGAACGTATAAAAGTAAAAAAAATTTATAGGATATGTTGTATAAAACTTGTATATTTAATATGGTGTTAAATATGTTTTTTTTTTTAATTATCCCATTACTAAAATGATAATATAATCTTTTAAAATTGTCCCTACAAGAAGTTAATATTTGACAAAATAAATAATTAAATTACTAATATTTGTAAATTTTGTATATTAACTACGTGATCGTTAAAAAAGCATAAAATTAAGTGAAAAGCATTAAACTAAAAGATACAATTTTTAAATTCTCTGATTTCGTAATTCAATTTTTTCCTCTTGCTTACATGAACCTAATGTTCTAATTTAACTCTCCAAGTCAATAAATAGGCCATTGCAAAATGCTTATTTCAAAATTTAAAAACAAAATAGCATTCTACAATAATCTTCTTTTAACATTTTTGATCATTTTCATTGCTTCAGGCATCGTTGCCGGTAATAAATTATACCTATAACTCAATTTTCATTACTTCATTTGCTTTTTTTTTTTTTTGAGTAAAATCACTAGGATGGTAGGATAATGTCTTCTATATTAAAAGACATGTGTTTTTGCAAAAGAAAAATTAGTTTTATGAAATAGAATACAGGATTTTTGAAAAGTTAGAATTTCACAATTTCATATATTGTTCTTAATGAAAGTTTAATTATTGTTTCATGAGAAATCAAATCCGATTAAAAATTGTGCTTTGTATCAAATTTTTGTCCAACAATGCCAGAACGGTGTGACCAATTTTGTAAGCAAATTGGCCACCCTAGTGGAGGCTCATGTTTAGAAGGGAAAGGTGAATGTTGTTGCTACTTGCAATTTCGGAAATTTTAATATAAAATAAATAATGTCTTCATATTTTGAATAAATTTAGCTACAAACAGAGTATCTTTAATTTTTATGAAAAAAGTTGAACAATAAAAAATGTAATTTCTTATTAAATATTTATTTCAATAATTTTTACTTAATAGTTGCAATGAAAAACAAGTTATATTTAATTATTGTAATTAAATATTCTTTAATCAATAGTTGTCATCAGTTTTGTAATTATATTTACCTAACAAACTGATAAAAATAACTTCACCAGGTTATAAAAAAGATATACCATTAACTTTAATTAACAAAATATTTCTACTCTTTTAATGAAAAAGACTTGATATTTTGTTATTATTAAGACATTTAATATACAATATAAAATTATTTAAGATGTGAAATTTATTATTCTTTAAAAAATCGTACCAAATTTTTTTTATCCTGTAAGTGGTTTTTTGTACCAATATTTAAATAAAAAAGTAAGGGATTACCATTATTTTCATGAAAATAATAACTAAAAGCTAATATCGTGGCTCATATTATAATATAATATTATCAAATGATTTTAACAAATATTATAAAAATAATTTATTTTTAGTTAATATGTAACTATTTCACTTGTATATTAGACTAATGTTTTTGTTAAAGAGTAAATTATTATTTATAGGACCAAAACTTAAGTACTGCCCAATATTTTTATCAAAATAACATTTCAATTCTAAAGTTGTGCCTTCATTTACAAGTTAATTAAATAATAAAGATAAAATATATTCCAAATTAATATATATTTATTTCATATGTTAATTGGACGGTTGTTTTAATCCTGATAGTATCAAACACATTAATATTAAAATAAGAGAGACTATCTTGGATTATAAATATGTTTCCATATATTTAAGATTTTACATAGTGGTGCAAAAAAAAACTTATTTAGAAAATATAATACATTTTTTTTATGAAATCATTAAAGTTTTAAAAAATTAGTTATAAATTAATTGTAAAAAAATAAAAATAGAGTAAATTACCAAGAATGTTGTATTACACATTAGGACAACTCAAAAACAATTTATTTAAAATGTTTTATGTAGAATATAGAAGACATTATTATAAACATTAAAATATAAACAATATTTTAGGACCATTCCTAAAATATCTTTATTTGTAGATGAATTATGGGATCTATCGGAAGAAATTTTAAAAATGAATTTAGTTTATAAAAGCAAACGGAAAAAAATTATGATATTTTTTAATCAAGAGTTTGGAAAATGTTTAATATTATCTTTATAAAAAAGAGAGGTCTTAATTGAACATATAAAAGTTGAGATTTAATTGGATAAGTCGTATAACATTTGTATATTTATATTAAAATAATTCATTTGATCAACAAATCATTAAATCAATAATAATAAAAAAAAATTCTTTCAAATTAATATTTTTTATTTCATCTATAAAGTAGTCTTATGTTCGCTTCCTCTAAATATTAAACATATTAACATTGAAATAAATCACTAATGGGCTGACTGAAGTGTAATGTTGATGCGTCTTTTAATAACAACAATAGCACTACGAATAGTGAGTGGTGCATGTGTAATCGTTCTGGGAACTTTATTTCTGCAGGTTTTGCGTGGGATCCAAGAATTCTTCCCGTCATTGAAGCCGAAGCCTTAGCACTTAAGGATGCAATTCTCAGAGCTATGTCTTCGCAGTTGGAGTTTGTTACATTTGAAAGTGATTCCCAAAGATTTATTAAAGCAATCCATTATAATCGTAATGGTGACTCTGAATTTAGTCTTATTATTGAGCCTATTTCTAGTTTATTTGTTAATTTTCTAAGCTTTGAGGTGAATTTAGTCAAATGTCAAGCAAATATGATTGCTCACTCTATTGCAAGTGCAACCAATTCTTGGGCTCGACGTAGTTAATGATTATTGATTCCTCGTTGTACTGAATATTATTTAATAAATTAAATGCATTGATCTTGTTGTGATATAAAAAGAGAGGATTATACATTTGAAATATGTTGCCAAGTAAATAAAATTTCCACAATGGCACCACAAAACTTAATTTAAGCAAAACAATTCATTGATATATGAAATAATTATTTTTTGCAAATAATACAAAATTGAATCGTAAATAAACAAATTAATATTTATTAGTTGAAAAATACTTTACTCTATAGATCGTGGTCTTTATGGGATTAAGAAAAGTGATTTTTTAAAAACACAAATAATTTGATTTTTCTTTCTTTCGCGCTCTGGTTTCTTGGGCAATGGGACTCTATTATCTCAGAGATTGTGAATTGATTTGATTTTAAACTAATTGTTTATGTTAGGACATTACATTCTTGAAATTTTTTTTTAATAAATTGCATTTATTATTCCCTACTAAACCTTTTAAACGCAGAGTGATATTTTTAAGCCTTTTAGTATTAATTTTTTTTTGTTTTTACCGATGTTTATAAAATAGATAGAAACTCAAGTGTTGCCCAATTTTTTTTAATCAAAATATATAATTTATAAGCTAATATTGTGGTTTAAGTTACAAGAAAATCCCAAAAATATATTAGTAACATTAAGTAAAAATCATTTATTCCAAATTAACATTTATTAATTTCATATGTTAATTAAATAATTTTTTTCCTCCTCATAATATCTAAAACAATGTTTTAAAACCCAGTCTGACCCGGCCGGTCGGATGGGTCTGACCGAGAACCGGTGGGCCAGACGGTTCGTTTAAGGGATAAGACCGGAATTACATTTAGACCGGATGAAACCGGTGTGAACCGGCGGTTTTTACTGAATCGGCGGGTTTGACTATTTATTTTATTTTTTAGGGCTTTTGAAAAAAAAATTAACATAAACGCTTTGCCTCGTCGTTTCACAAACCTAGACATTTGAAAGTTTTTCTTTTTTATTCT